ACAATGTAACTCTGTTCATGTGCCAGACAGACTCCATAGGAAAGAGACATTTCAGCTGAATTTTGATCATGCACATAAACACATACTGATTGTACAAATACATTGGAAGAAGCAAAAAACAAAGTGGAGTTTTAGGCAAAGATCAGTTTTAAGGGAATTTAGGTAATGACAAAATCTGACAGGATCTAATTGGAGATGGAACAGGAAGGACAAATAATGTCACACACCGATTAAAGAGACAATATATCAGGGACCCAACACATAAGCGTCCAGGGCTGAGGATGTGGATCAGTGGTAGACCACTTCCTCAGCATGAGTGAGGCCCTGGGCTCATTATTCAGGGCTGCAAAAATAACTACTTACATATGTATGTGTGTTACATATGTATATACATATATCTATAATAACACATCATCACGTTTCCAAATATATGGAGCAGTAACCTATGATTATATTAATTATATATTATAAGCATATTAAAAAATAGATATTGGTGATAAATCAAATAATAATAAATAATAAATAAATGTCAAAACAAAATGTATCATTCAAAATCTGTACACTACCCTTAGCATTAAAAATCAAAATTTAAAAATAAAAGTTACATATTGCTTGGCTTATATAAATAATAACATTATCCAAATGGGTATATACTCACAACACTGTAGGAAGATCCTCTAAAATTTGTCATGAATTAGATTATAGCAAGTCACTGAGTTACAAAGAGTCTGCGTCATATGTACAGATGTCTTCTGATTATAGTGAGAGAAAATCTGAAGTTAGGGAAAGCATGGGAGGAGTTACTGGAAATGTTGTTCAGTGGCAGAGTGTTCAACTGCCATATTCAAGACTCTCCATCTGATTTCCCAGCCCTAAAAACCAAGGGAGACAGAGAGACAGAGATAGAGACAGAGAGGATTGTAGGGGATAATACCAATTAACAAACTGACCAAAGAGCTAAGGAAATCATAAAGGTAATTATGATAGCCTTCTATTGAACTATCAAAATGTTGTATGTCAAAATATTGCCACTAGGGCTGGCACAGCAGGTAAAGACACCTGCCACCAAGCTTGAGAACCTGAGTCTGATCCTAAAAACTGACTCCCAGAAGTTGTCCTCTGACCTCCAAAGGAGGATGGGGGTAGGTGTGTGTTCAGGCACTTCTTTACAGCATGCTATAACATGGTTCTAAAGTATGTTCTAAAGTATATGCAGCTACTCCCAGAGTCATGGTTAGAACACTTTGGTCATCCTGAAAAGAAGCCATATTTCCCCAGAGCCAACACCATGCAGGCATTTCCTGTTTCCCCTGTCTCAGCGCTTGGCAACCACGAAGACTTTGGTCTCTGTAATTGTCTCCTGTGGACATTTCACGTACAGAGGATGATACCTTACGTGGCTTCTGTTGTTTTTGTTACTTAGTTGGACGGTTTAGGAAAGCTTTTAGAAAATTAAAGTAGCTTAGCAACCATAACTCTTCCTCACCAGAAACAGTGAGCCAGAGAGTGTGAAAAACACAAAAAGATACAGTTTAAAATGGCAACAGAACTCTACAGTGTCGATTTTATCTATGTAGAGAAAAAAATGAACTATTAAAGGGTATAAAGTATGTGAATAAACAGATAAACCATGATCTTGGAAAGAATAATCTGATTTTTATAAATATACCAATTTGCCATCTACTCACAATTCATCTCAAATTTAAGACAATTCCAGACAGCCGTCCAGTACAATTCTTTAAGGGAACTTCACACATGCCATTTATACTTTGCATGGAAGAATCTCACGGATTGGTGGGATAGTTTTGTCTTGTTGGGTAATTAAGACACATTTGAAAGCTGCGTAATTAAAATAACACGGTCCTAGCTTACAAACCAAAACAGAAAAATCTAGAAATAGACCCAGGCTCATAAAAGAACTGATGAATTGGAAAGGAGTTATCATAAATTACTAGAGAAAGCATGAGTTATTTCAAAAATTATGTTGAGAAAAAAAAATTAATTCAACTTAGGTAGAGCAGAGGAAGAAGCAGGGGGATCGCTGTGAGTTCCGGGCTCGTTGGGTCTGCCTGCAGAGGTCAGCCAAGGACTCACAGTAAGGCTCTTGTCTTAAAAAACAAAGCAAAAAGAAACCCAAACAAATCAATATAAGTAGAAAAATACCATTGATTTCTCATCTCCCATAAGATTATGAGTAAATTCCCAGTGGGTCAAAGCTCTTTCTGTACTACTACCGCAACGTTAAGTAGAAGTGAGCGAACTGTCTCAGGCGGATGCCGTACAAAATGATCCCTGCAGACCCTGAAAAGCACAAACCAAAAACAGAGAAATTCTTAGCTTAGCCTCATCAAAATCAATGCCTAAAAAAAGTCTAAAAACCAACAATCTTATGAAATATATACAATCTCCTATGAAAAAGTTAAGGAAACAAAGGTTACAGAAATCAGCATCATAGATGAGTGAACCCGAGCGCTTAATACAGCTATGAAGAGACATTTGTGTCTATCGGTGCTTAGGGAAATCCAAATTAAAATAATAATGATATCATGTGGAGCTGGGATGTGACGAAACTGGGGCAGTCAATCGGATGGTACCCAGGGGACCGCAAACCAGCATTGTCTGGAGTAGCGATCTGCGCAAGCTTTGCTTAGAAAGGCAGCCTGGCCACGTTTCTCCTGGGTGACAAAATGAAAACCTCCTAGAAAAAAAAAAAAAAAACCACAGGGAACAGGTGAAGCCACTTATGCTTCCACAGTTGGAGTACGCTGTGATCGCTGTATCTACCAGAAACAGCTTCAGGCCTGAAGCTTCATGTTCGCTTCATGGTTTCAACCTACCTTGGTGGGTGGAGCACATGGTGGGCAGCTCAACTCACGGTGTCGGTAGCAAGTGGCAGAGGCCGGTCACATCACAGTAGACACAGAGAGCAGGGAGGGATCTTCCAAGGCCTGTTCCTGGTGACCTCCTTCTGCCAGCTAGACCTCACCTCCTGGAAGGATAGCCACCAAAACAGTGCCGCCAGCACGGACCAAGTGTTGAAAGATAACAGCCTGTGGGGACATTCAAATTCAAGCCACAGCCGGAAGCAATGTATTTATCCTAATCTGAGAGGGCAGTTAAGCAAAGGTATTTCTGTGCATCTTAGCTCCTCGCACAAACCCAGGTGTTCTCTCGAGGGTGTGGGGCGCGGTGTTCTCTCTCAAGCAGTGGCTCTCAACCTTCCGAATGCCCTTCGATTATTCCTCGTGTTGTGAGGACCCCCAACTATCAAACTATTTTCACTGCTACCTCATCACTGTAATTTTGCTACTACTATGAACTGTGATATAAATATCTGTGTTTTCTGGTGGTCCTAAGTGACTTCTGTAAAAGGGTTGTTCAACCCCTAAAGGGGTCGTGACCCACAGGTGGAGAACTGCTCTTCTAGAGTGTCTTTTCCAGGAACCAGGAACAAAGCCCAAATTGTCTTAGTGTTTTGAACAGTTTACAAAGCAATAATTAATTATTAATCATATTATTATAATCTATAATGAGATCTGGTGCCCTCTTCTGGTGTGTAGGTGTACATGCAGGCACAACGTTGCATACACAATAAATAAATAAAACTTCTTAAAAAATGATCCAGGGATGACAATGACAACTGCTATTTAATGAACTGAAAAATCTGTCATAAGCCAATGTTATTCTAGATGCTGGGAATAACTAAAGATTCTATGATTGAAAAATGGAAGAGGGACTCTGGCGGGTGGTGCTCAGTGATAGATTTTTTTCCCCCAGTTTTTGTGAGGTTCTGAGTTTAATGCTACACAAGCACACACACAATACTCATGTGAATGTGTGCACAAGCAGGGACACACACAGAGATCAAAGGAAAAAGGTGCAGAACTTGAGTCAGAAGACTGAAGAAGTGTCACTACGAGAAGCCTAATAAGGAAATAAGCCTATAAGGAAATAGTCATTGCCTTTCTGGATAAATATTCTGGAGGAAAAAAAAGAAATGCCTCGGGAACTTCATTAACAAATAAGAGCAAGGACACAAATGAAGATACTTAATATAAACTGTAGCATTGAAAAGCTGCTCAATAAAAAAATAAATTAAAGAAATAAAAAGCCTGTTAAAAGCAGGATGTGGCTTATAGTAGTGGAAATAATGGAGGGTTTAGTACAAAATAGGGTAAGACTAGAATAAAGCATTTGACCCAGTTACTTAGGGGTGACAAAAAGAGGGCAGTGTTTGATCCAGTGCTCAAGCCCTGGTGTGGCAGAGACAGATAGACGTGTGCCGGGGAGGCATAGCACGGAGTCATTTGTGGAAAGTATAAAGCTAACAAAAGCAAACAAAACCTCACTGAAGAGGAGCACTACAAACAAAAAAGAGATGCTTTACAGTACCTAAGTATATCTGTAGACACTTGCATTTCATCATTTGACTGTCAGTTACTCAGTGTCCACTGCTAAGCATCATGCTGGGCAGAGAACACAGGACGAGGCGTGTATGGCTCCTGCATACACGGAGTAAACACCCTCGGTGAAAATGATTTTCCTCATCAACCGGAGGCCTCTGCCACCTTACTCTCCAGTTGCTTAAACACGTTTTAATCTCAGATAGACAACTCTAGAAACCATGTGTTGTAAGGTAAGCATATAGGTACGTGGCAGAAAGATGAAATGGAAACATCGTTTTATATATAAGCGGAATCATCCCACTATCAAGTGAAAAGCTGGGCCTTTGTCATCTTTCTTCCTGAATGTGTGTACTGTTTTAAAGTTGAGATTTTTCTAACTCTAGAGGAACAGTGGTGAGCCAATAGTTTGTAGAATGAGCTCCCTACTCAAGGTCCTACTCATGAAGGGGATATTCCTACTTCATCAAAGACCTTTGTTAAGTTCCTAATCATTGCTAGCAAATGATGGCAGAAATAGGCAGTGCATTTTCTAGAATTCTCGTCGTAAAGATTGTTCCTGGATTTTTCTGACCATTATTTACTTACGCTTCACAGGCTACCCTTTCCCCACTGCTCCTCCTGTGGACCCATTTGCCAAAATCAAGGTGGAAGACTGCGGAAGAACTAAGGGATGCTTCAGGTAGGTAGATCTGCAAGTCTGATCAGAAATGACCTTGCAAGGTTGTATTTGAACCAACATTCATTGCTATGTGGGCACATGCGTCTGTCCTCCTTTGGAACTTCAGCGAGATTATGGAGAGCTCAAATTAAAAAAATCCAGAGCTTGGCGATTTTGTTTGCTTGTTGATACAGGGTCTGGCTGGCCTTGAATTCTGGGTAATCTCACTAAATTCTCCATGATGCTGTCCTTGCAAATATGCACTGCCATGCTTGGCTCGTGTTCAGTTTGAGCATTTTCTTTTTTAAAGACAGTGTGTGTCCTATTCACTTTCTATTGCTGTGATAAAGATGTAGATAAAGATATAAACCAAAAAGGTTTATAACAGAGTCCACCTCTGAGAGAAGCCAGAGGAACTCAGAGCAAGGCAGGAACCTGGAGGCAGGAATTGAAGCAGAAACTACGAAAGATTGCTGCTCATTGGCTTGCTCTCATGGCTCACTTCCCAGGATACCTGGCCAATGCTGATGCCACCCAGAGTGAGCTGGGCCCTCTCACATCAGTCATTAATCAAGAAAATGCTCTACTAACTTGCTTGTAGGCAGTCTGATGGAGGCATTTTCTCAACTGAGGTTTCTCTTCCAGCCCTGATGACTCTAGCTATATTAAGCTGACAGATATATAACCAGGACAGGCAGGTTCTCCTATAGCCCAGGCTGGCCTTGAACTTATTAGGCCAGCAAGGTTAACCTTGAATTTCAATTTCTCATGCTTTTCCCAAGTTCTGGTCATAGGTGTGTGCCTAGTTTATGCAGTGCTGAGGACTGAACCCAGGGCTTTGTGCATGCTAGGTAAACGTTCTACCAACTGACCTGCATTCCTACTTCAACACATAAATAGCCATGACTTGCGGATTCTGCATGATGGTAAGCACGGATTATTAGTCTGCGTCTCTACGTGATTATTGATAACATTCCATCACGACACAATGGGCTTCTGACGATGGTGCCCACCTGTAATCCCAGGTGGCTGAAGCAAGAAGCTCCCAAGTTGAGGCCAACCTGAAGTACCTGGTGAAAAGACCTGGTATCAGAGAAAAGATAGATGGAGGGAGGGAGAGATGGGGACAGTGAGGGAGAAAATAAGAGTGAATGAATGATAATGAGCTTGGTAGAAAACAGCAGTGTAGAAACTTCTCAAATAGGGGTTTTGATGGAGATGGCACTAATGTGCTGATGCTGCTCATTGTTCAGGGCTCCAGGTTTAAGGAGGCAAGTATTGACTACAAAGGTCTTGAGCTTTGTTGGCTTTCAAGGCTTTTCTGAAGACCTTTTTTAAAAATTCGAGTACTATTACCATTGGGCAAAATGGTCAGCAGTGTTTATTTAATTCTAGTGGTGACTGAGAAGAAATTTTAATAGCTTTCCTGCTTAGAGTGGCTTATCTTTCAAACTGTTCTCTGCTCTTCTTCCCCTCCTTCGTCCTTTCCCATGCTTCTCCCCAGTTCCAGCTCGCCTGCCCGTACATCTCTTTCTTGTTACTTGGGGAATCCCTGCTAACAGATGAGCCTCCTTCCTCATCCGAGCTTCAGCACCCTGGGTCTTGTTCTTGCAGACACCTGCCATTTATCCTTTTATCCTTTCATCCGTTGATACATTTTCCTTCCCCTCTCTTTTCTTTTTCTTCTCCTCCCTCCCCTTCCTTTCCTGTTTCCTCTCTTATGGCTAGGGTCATGTGTATTACCAGTGAATACACCCCGTGGCAACATTGTGTGCCATTCTGACAGTGGTGAAATCCGGTGTTCCTTAACTAGGGTTCCAATTGCTAATGGAGCCATAAGTCATTTGTAAGGGTTTTTGTGACATTTATAATTTATTTTGTGTGTGTGCCTGTATGTGTATACATATGTACATACCCACATGTAATCGTGTAAACTTATGCCAAGGCACTCGTGTGCAGGTCAGAATACAACTTGCTGGAGTTTTTTTCTTCTTTTTTAAATTTTTTAAATTTCATTTATTGAGTCTTTTCTTCTAACGTGCATTTCAGGGAGCAGACCCGGGTCACCAAGCCTGGTGACAGGTGTTCTTGTCTACGGAGCCATCGCACTTGCTCCTCTGTCGGAAATTTGAAATTTTTGTTTTCTTCTTAGGGGTGCCATTTAAAGAGATGCATGTGTGCATAATCTTACCATCTAGGCAACGACCCCACACTGCTATATTTTAGGGTCTGGCTTTGTGATTATATTAACACCAAGTACAATTTATAAATAAATCACGTACTTGTGTCCAGCAGATAGCAGATGAGGTTTTCGCGTGATTCTCTCTACAGGTGTGGCTTTTGCAGCAGACCAAGAGATTAAATTGCAGGAGCTGGGCCATCACTCTGTCAGTGATAAGGATGTGCTCAATGCTCCTCCTGCTGGTACAGTGAGATGCAACACATGTACCCACCGCAGAACAGTCCTTTCAGAAAAGTCACACCATTTTTTCATCACACAAATGCCGTGAATCTCAGAATTTCTGTTTTTATTTCTAAACCTGTGATATTTTAACCGTGAAAAGCTATGAAGAAAAATAGTATATATCTTAATTAGGGAAAACTTGATACATTTTTAATTTGAACAGACCCAGTTCAAAGCTCGCTGCAGGCAATGACTTCACTTTGCCACCTGGTTGAGCTCCTTTCCTTCTCTGGACTTGAGTTTGCATGTAGAGCGGAGCAGATCCTACCCATGGTCCCTGCTGAGGGACCAGTGTCTCTGAGGTCTCGGGAAGCAGCAGCTGTCGTTCAGAGCATTGTTCGGTGTCTTTGGGGTACAGTTGCATACTGGTACTCTCCCTTCTGTGTCTGAATTATACAGAAGCAGTAATGTCTCTTTTGGCGAATCCTCCAGGTACGGCAAGCCAGGCTGCAATGCAGACACCTGTGACTACTTCCTTAGCTACCGGATGATAGGCGCCGACGTGGAGTTTGAGCTGAGTGCAGACACGGATGGTTGGGTTGCAGTTGGATTCTCTTCAGACAAAAAGATGGTAAGGCGTGAACCACGACAGAGGCCGCTTTGTCTCTTAGCTTTGTTGTTCTTCTTTGGATTTTGGAAGCAGATGGATTAATCAAAGAGGTAGAAGCACAGTGTTAGTCACAGCTCTCTAATTGCAAGTTGAAAAAAAATTAAGAGGTGCAGGGCTGTTGTGTCGAAGGTCTTAATGCCAGCACTTGAGGGGCAGAGATAGATGGAGCCCTGAAAAACCACCACCACCATCATCAACAACAAAACAGCAACAGCAGAAATAAGAGGCTGGAGAAAGGCTCAGCAGGTAAGAGCACAGACTGCTCCTGCGGAGGACCAGAGTTCAGTTCCCAGCACCCACATCAAGTGGCTCACAACTGTAACTCCTGCTCTAGGCAGTCTGATGCCCTTTGGGCTCCTGCATGCACACACACACACACACACACACACACACACACACACACACACACACAAGTAAATCTTTTTTTATTTTAATTCAAGCCAGCTTTATTAGAAAGACTGGTTCTTAGACTACAGGGTGTCTTGTGCTGCACGTATTGACCAGGTCTGTCCACATGATGCTGCAAACTTCATGTCTTGTGCCAATTGATGTGTATCTCTTGCTCACGTGAGTATGGCTTGGCTGGGGTTCAGCTTGATTTCTGTGGTCTCAGCTGGGCTTGGCTGCAGTCCATGGGTTGGGTTCGATTTCCTGTGTGCTTTAGTCAGTCTGGGGGGGGGGGGACAGCTACCAAGGCCTGTTCTCTTCAGAGCAGAGGCAACAGTGGAGAAAGAGCCATTGTAAAAGAAAGAGTCAGAGTGTCTTTCCTTTACACTTAGACACTCAATACAGAACACTTCTGTGACCAGTATGTGGTATTTCTCTCAGCTCCACTACACACACACACACACACACACACACACACACACACACACACACGAACCTATCAGGCAGATCTCCAATGGACACCAACTGGGTGTCCTCTACCTCAATCAGTTCTGACATAGTCTAATGGAGAGAGTGTCAGATGTCACAAAGGGAAGGTTTAGTTCAAGCCTGCTCCACTGTAGATGCCAATTTCAGGTCCTAGGGTTGTGATCTGATGAACTGATTCTACCTTAGAGTTCCTCTCGAGTGTCATTAATTTGCCAGAACTCAGGTAAACACTTTATTTACATTTTCCCATTGTGCTAATTAGCTTTCCAGTATTATTAATGAGAGAGAGAGAGAGAACTAATATCTGCCTCCACGGGCACATCACCAACTATATAACTTATTTTCATTAGGTCTCATCTCTTAAATTTCCCACTATTCCTTAATAGTGCCAAGACTGGGAGCAACCTTTAACACAAAGGCCCTTGGGAGACCCAGACCAAGGCACCACCAATGGCCATAGTAAGGAGGGGCTCAGTTCTGGGCTATTTTGAAAGCATCACTTGGGAATGGGAAGATAGGTGAGTGGTTCTGTTTGTTTGCTGCTCTTCCAGAGAACTGAATTTGGTTCCCAGCACCCATGTCATGGAGCTGATGACCTTTAACTTCAGATCTGATGCCCTTTCTGGCCTTCATGGGTATCTGCATGCACATGGCACAACACACGCGCGCGCGCACACACACACACACACATTTACTTACTTATGATGGTAGTAGACTGGCCTTCTAAAACAAAGCCAGTGGCACCAGGACCCCTGACATACGAGCTGCCCATACTGCACAGGATGGAGGACTATTTTTCCATGAACTTCTGAGATGCAAAGACTGAACTCTCCTAACTGTTACCACCTCAAGATGTGGCCTGTCTACCCAGGAGCTTCTCTTACTGTCCTTGGGGTTTCTCTTACTCTTCTTGTCATGGCTTTGCTTTGGGATTTTTTGTTGTGTGGTGTGGAGTAGCTGTGGGGCCCAAAGGAGCAGTTCCTGAAATCAGCCCACAGTTCTGCCGGTGGCCAGGGCGTGGGTGTTGTGGTGAGGGGTGTTGCAAACAGACTATATATCCCATTCTGTGAATCACCCCTATAAAGGGGTGTCCCAGTAAAGGAGAAATAAGAGAAAAAGAACATGAGTCCAAGACTAGCAGAGGCTACATAGTGACATGCTGTTCAAAAATTAGGAAGGAAGGGAGGGAGAGAGGAGGGAGGAAGGGAAGGAAGAGAGGGTTGATTTAAGGGTTCAGATAACAGGGGCAGATTGGGGAGCCTTTAAAATGTCACTGTAATATCTATGAAAGCAGAGGCCCTTCCTTTCTTTTCCTCTTTCCACTGAAGCATGGATTAAATTAAAAAACAAAAACCTGACGAAGTATAGTAAGAGCAATGTGGATTCCCTTTTTAATAACCTTGAATTTTTATGACACAGTTTTCAAATTAGATTTAATTATTTTTAACAGCATCTCTGGGCTTCTGTCTAAATGGCACGCCTCACAGGCTTCATGCACTGCCTCCCTCATCATCCCTATCCTCCACAGAGCAGTACAATCGGCTGAACTCTAATGTTTGGGTTTTTTTTTTTT